CCCCTCCCCCTTGGCAACCACAAGTCTGTTCTCTATATTTGTGAGTTTTTTTTTTTGTAGCTAAGTTCATTTGACTTGTATTTTAGATTCCACATATGAGTGATATCATACAGTATTGGTTTTTCTCTGACTTACTTCACTTAGCATGATAATCTCTAGGTGCATCCATGTTGCTGCAAATGGCATTATTTTATTCTTTTTTATGGCTGAATAGTATTCAGTTTGTGTGTGTGTTTGTGTGTGTGTGTGTGTGTGTGTGTGTGTGTGTGTGTATACCACAAGGAGATGGGTTCTTTTTTCGGTTTAATATGGATTGATTGGGAAACCATTTCATCTTAGGGTCCTTAGAGGCTGGTAGGGCCGCCAAGGAGGGCAAGGTAGTGGATGCCAGGGCTCCAGGAGCCCTTTCCCTGGAGCTACATGGGGAGGAGGACAGTGGGCTTCCAGGGTGGGCCCCCAGGGTGCACTGCCCTGTGGGGGAGTATCCGATGTGTCCCTCTCTGTCCTGGGTTCCAGACATTGTCCCGAGGGTGAAGGCCAGCAGATGGCTGCTGTGGGTTGTCCCCGTGCCCTGTGGTCACTGTGCCCCTTGGCCGTGGCAAGAGTTTCCCAGAGGGTCCATCTGGTGCATCCATCTGGCCGACCCAGCCCTGCCATCCCTGGTTCACTGGTTCATAGGTCCTCATTCCATTGAAGTGATGTTCTCACCAGGCTGCCCCTTGACCTCTGCTGGGGGGCTTTGAGGACTTGGGAAAGAGCTGATAGTACCCGTTTGTAGTCCCCACATCCCAGTTTGTAACCTTAGACCCATGGGTGATTCCACCCTGTTGCCTGAGATATAGAAGCCAGGACACCCTGGTTCCCCACTCAGGACCAGAGTCCCGGGGGTGAGGGGCTCCTGCCTTGATCCAAAATGCTGATATTTTATGCGATGTTTGTATTCATTTCGCTTTTTAAAACTCTTTCACTAGACGTTATTTGTCTTGCTTTCTGGTTGTTGTAGTTGTTGTGTGTGTGTCATCTTCAGTTTTCTGAGGAGAGCCTTTTGCTCTCCCCACCCTAACCCTGACCCCTGACCGTGCTTAGCAGCGAGCTTTTCCCACTGTCTGCCTGTACAAACAGGGTGCAGATACCCTCCTTCTGGGGCGTCCGTGAGTTACGTGCCCAGCAGAACATCTGGCCACAAAATAAATCCAAGTATCGATGTTACCCTTTAGGGCAGCTAGTAATAATACCAGCACAGAGACAGAAGAGAGCACGGGGGTCTGTGGAGCCCTGGACAGGAAGGGGACCATCAGTCAGTCACTCGGATGCGACGCGCAGAAACAAACTCTTCTAATGACTTGATCTGCCCCGTTTGCCATTGTTTTTTAAAAAATTTTTTTAATTGAAGTGTAGTTGATTTACAATATTGTGTTGCTTTCAGGTGTACAGCAAGGTGATTCCGTTATATTTACATACACATATATGTATTTTTTCCAGATTCTGTTCCCTTACAGATTATGACGTGTGGGGTAGAGGTGAGATTTTCAGATGTTGCGGGTGCTGATGGAAATGTGTCTACGTCGGATCTCTTCGCTCCACATTTCTGTTTAATGAAGTAATTCCATTCCTTTCTTGGTGTGGACCAAGGGGTGTTTTTGGAAGCCTCCCGGAGAGGGAAATAGAAAAACTCTCCCTCTGTTCCTCTCACTTCTGGTGGGAGGGACCAAGTGAACTAAGGACCTTTGTTCTTTATTTTAAAATGTAATTTAATTATTTTTAAAAAATGTTAAACCTTTTTATTGAAGTGTAGTTGATTTACAATGTTGTGTTAGTTTCAGGTGTACAGCAAAGTGATTTTATATGTGTGTTATATATATCATATGTATATTATTTATATATTCTTTTTCAGATTGTTTTCCATTATAGGTTATTACAAGATATTGAACATAATTCTGTTATACAGTAGGTCCTTGTTGTTTATCTATTTTATATACAGTAGTGTGTACTGTTAATCCCAAATTCCTAATTTATCCCTCCCCCACTTCCCCTTAGGTAACCATAACTTTGCTTTTTATGCCTGTGAGTCTATTTCTGTTTTGTAAATAAGTTCACTTGTGTCATTTTTTAGATTCCACATATAAGTGATATCATAGGGTATTTGTCTTTCTCTGTCTGGCTTACTTCACTTAGTATGATAATCCCTAGGTCCATCCATGTTGCTGCAAATGGCATTACTTCATCACTCTTTTTCATGGCTGAGTAGTATTCCGTTGTATATATGTACCACATCTTCTTTATCCGTTCCTCTGTCGATAGACGTTAGGTGCTTCCGTGTCTTGGCTGTCGTGAATAGTGCTACTATGAGCATTGGGGTGCACGTATCTTTTTGAATTAGAGTTTTGTTCGGGTATATGCCCAGGAGTGGGATTGCTGGATTATATGGTCAGCTTTCTCTTTCTTGGTTGCGTTAATGGTGGAGCCTTCAAAACTAAAATAAGCGCATCTTTTTCTATGCACTGTTTCCTAATGCCTTTTTTTGGGGGGGGGGGAGGGCACAGGCGGGGGCCAGTTCATGAAGTGTTCTGCCTTTTCAGTGCATTTTCCTCGGCATCGTATTTCCCTTGCCTTCCTCCCCCTCCCCCTCCCCTTCCCTCCTTTCTGTTGTGTCCACTTCAGTCACCTTCTCCAGTCTCCACTCTTAGGACCCAGAGTCTGATGTTCTGGATTTCATGGAATTGCTTATGCATGTGTCTCTGCAATTTTGCATCTGATTTCAAAGTGTAGGGAGTATACTTTGTAAAGAACCCAGATGATGTAAGTGCTGTGTGCTTGATATGGGATCTGCTTCTTGAGTGCCTGGGCCTCTGTTCTGTGGTTCCACTGAGAAACATACATGTTATTGTTACTGTTTTGTTTTTTAAGCTTTTTAGCTAAGCCTCTTTGGGGGGGGCAGGGGGCAGAGATGATAGGTAGGTAGGTAGGTAGATACATAGATATAGATAGATATTGATGTACATATAGGTAGATGGATAGGTAGATGGACGGATGGACAGAGAGAAAAGTGATAGGTAGATACATAGATGTTAGGTAGGTAGGTAGATAATAGAGATTATATAGAGATTATACATATAAGTGAAACTGTGGACAGTATATTGTGGACTTTTATTATGTCACGTTCTTCTGAAGAGTATTTAGTTTTGTTTCAAGAAGCGGATGCAGCATCACCTTGAGCTTGAAGGCACCTGGTTTTGGGTTCCTGTGGATGGATTGATTTTCATTTTGCCCTTTGTCCTAGGGCGTATTCTCTCGACCTGGGTCGTGGTCCTTACTCCTCAGGCCTGGTCATTCCGAGGGCTCCGTGGAAGGTCTCCGATGTCCGTCAAGCCTGTCCGACGGGCAGGATGAGAACTGCAGACTCTACTGCCCATCAGGGAGCAGCTGCAGAAATGGCGGCTGCTGACTGCAGACTCCCAGGTACCGCATGCCCTGGGGTCTTTGGAGCTGTGTCCCCACCCCCATACAATGTGTAACGGGGGAGTCGGCCAAGATGTGAGCAGAAATTTGTTCTGCAAACGTTGGTGTTCCACGGTTCCTTTCTTTTCTTTTACTTCCTCAGTTTCCACCCACGCTAAGCCGCTCAGCAAGGCCGTCGCTTGCTTCCTGACCTCCGACCCCCAGAAGCTGTGGACCATGGCAGGGGGGCTGCCCTCAGACAGCAGTGTGGATGGATATCAGTCTCACCCTTGTGATTCCTTTTCCTCCGAGGACTCCTCCTCCACCAGCTTCTGCTTTTGGTGGTTCCAGCTCAGTGCCTTCAACACACATTTCTCTGTTTTATCCAAAGTTCATCGTTGTTCTTAGCATGAGATTTTATCTTTTTCTCCAGCAAATATGCCGTCACTGGTGTCCTGACATCGATGGCACTCTATTTTTTTTGCACTTTATATTTATGGTAGTTTGGCCAAAGATAGATACGAAAATAGAGTAGCAGCCAGAAACTTTCATTTTTGCTGCTCTGCATTGATGATTGGATGGAAACTTAGACGGTCATTTTCCCGTAAGAATACATAAAGAAGAATCACCTAAGCAAACATAGGATTGCCTTTTTTAAAATAAAGATTTAATTAACAGTTATTTTTCTTCCAGTTTTATTGAGCTGTAATTGGCACACAGTGCTGGATAAGTTGAAGGTGCCCGGCATAATGATTTGAGTGCCTGCGTCATGAAATGATGACCTCAATAAGTTTCGTGACCATCCATCATCCCGTATAGATACAGAATGAAAGCAATAGAAATGTTTTTCCTTGTGATGAGAATTCTTAGGATATATACTTTCTTAACAACTTGCATCCCTAACACAGAGCAGTGTTAATTACGTTTATCATGCTGTACCTTACATCCCTAGGACTTACAACCGAACATCTTCTGTATCTCAACAATCATCCAATTCCTCCACCTCTGGCGACCACAAATCTGACCTCTTTTTCGATGATGGCTCTCTTTAATTTTGCTGACTTTTTTTCTTGGCTGTCATTTGTAAGAGTGAGGTTTTTTTCCAGAGTGCTGGGACTCTGTCAGGAGGATGTACTGCCCAGCCCGTATCCTGAGACGCCGTCTGCAGACCGTTTCCACCGGGGCTGTGGGTTCCTGTGTCCCTCTGACCCCTTTAAACTCATGCGTGGTGAAGCAAGAGTCTGGGACATAATAGCATCGGGTGAACACCCAGGAGGAACAGGAGGGTGAGACCGAAGGACCCTGCTTTGTCCTCCTGCAGGGCGAAAATTCTGGGCATGCTCCAGAAGCCACCCCAAAAGGGCAAGCCTCTCCCCACTCCAGTGACCTAATAAGAAATGTTTGCATTTAGTCTCTGCCCCTGTCTTCTGGCACATGACACCGAAAACCCTCGGAATCTCCTCAGAATCTCCGAAGCCATAAGGTCTTTTGTAGGCTAACTGGTGGCTCCTGGATGGCCTCAGGGGGGAGCTCGTTGCCATGGAGACCAACCCTGACTAGAGAGTTGGAACTTTCAGGCCAGCCCCCTGACCTCCATCTGGGGAGAAGGGAGGGGCTGGGGGTTGAGTTTAATCCACCCCTCCCAGCCCCCCCTCCCCGCCCCCCCGCCCGGGACAGTGATTTAATCCGTCATGCCTACCGTACTGTGGACAAAAAAGGTCACCTGTGTCGACTGAAAAAAAAAAGCAGAACCTGAAAGTTGAGAATTATGTTTTGTTTGGTGGAGAAAACTGTGGACTTAAGCCCAGGAGACAGCTTCTCAGATAGCTTGGAGGGACAGCTCCAAAGAAGTCCAAGAGGAACCTGGATGTATAAGAGGTTTTGCAACAAAAAACCCGGGTAGTCTGAACTCAAAAGATTACTGTTAATTAAAGAAATCAGGCATCTCATGGTAATGAATTTAACGCTTTTTTTGTATAGAAAGATGCAAGAGTCTGGGCATCCTGTGTATTCCCATCCTGAGTCCCCCTCAGGGCTCACCTTCCAGGGCCAAGGCAGTGGTGGAGGGCTTGATGTCTGCAGCATCCTTTGTTTGTTGATATGGCAGGTGACATTTTCCATTCACACTTGCGTATCAGTAAACGAAGGATGTTGAGGCCGTCAGGCCCTCGGCCACTGCAGCGCCCCCAGCGGTGCACCCTGGGGGCGCTCAGGTTGGAGAAAACCAGGATCCTGGCCCTAGGTAGCTAAGGTGCACGTCAAAGGAATGGTTTGGATGAGCCCAGACTCTTGCATCTTCCCATACATAGAAACGCACTAAATTCATTCACTTGAGACGTCTTTGTTTTGTAATTAGCAGTAATCTTTTGATGTTCAACGTTGTGTTCTTTTTTCCAGCAAAATCTCCTATATAACCGGCCTCCTCCCTGACCTCTTTGGAACCATCCCTCAGCACTATGAGAGGCTGCCTCTCAGGCTTAAGTCCTCAGTAAGGTCACTGAATAAAACATAATTCTCAATCTTTAGGGTGTGCATTTTTTTCAGTCGATAGTTTGAAGCCTCCGTAAAAATCCCTGAGCTGTGGGTGTCAGCGAGCTTCCGGGTCGGTGAGCAGTTTTCCACGCACGGCTTCCGTGGGGCTGTTCCCGAGTTTTATCGTTCCGTAGCAGACCTGTACTCCAACAAGTGCACTGTTTTTCTAAGTTCTGTGAGCCCCTCTAGCAGATTACAGAACCTAGAAATGAGATCATGGGAACCTCCGTTGCATACCTGGTCGGTGAGAAGCACCGGTGACAAGCTGGGGCTTTTGGATGGGCGTCTGAAGTGGGGGCAGTTTTGTAGGGCCGAGTTCTCAACCTGTGGCATCAGACACTCGCCCCACGATAGTATCTGGACTGAACTGCATGGTAGGACACCCAGCTGGTGTCTTGAAATTTGGTTGAGAATTGGTCGATGTGGTGGCCAGAGGTATTGAGAGAACATGATGTATAAATAGAGAACCCCCCCCCCCAAAAAAAAACACGCTTCTTTGGACCACCTCTCAAATAAATTCCTTGTCCCCCTACTCCTTGTCGGAGGGTCTGCTTTGGGGGAACGTTTTGGGGTGGGGGAGCCCCCTTCCCCCCTGTGCCGTTGAAGGAGCATGCAAGAAATCTAGGAATCCCAGTCCCCAAATAAGCTCGTTTTGCCTCTTCTTTCCGCTGCTTCTAGTGTGTGAACGGAATGGGGTCCTCCATGTGTGAACTTGCAGTCATGCACTGCCTCAGTCAGAAGCTCGTTCTTTGCGACTAGAGATGATCATACTGAGTGAAGTAAGGCAGACAGAGAAAAACAAATACCATCTGACGTCCCTTACATGTGGATTCTAAAATATGACACAAAAGGACTTATCTGTGAAACAGAAACAGGCTCACAGACAGAAACAACAGACTTGTGGTTGCCAAGGGGGATGGGAGGTGGGGGAGGGATGGTCTGGGAGTTTGGGATTAGCGGATGCAAACTATTATATATACAGGATGGATGAACAACAGGGTCCTACTGTAGACCACAGGGAACTCTATTCCATGTCCTGCAATAAACCATCATGGTAAAGAATATGAAAAAAGAAGGTGATTCTTGTTTTACAGAACATTTCTTTCACCCCAAGGCATCAGGAAAAGGGTGAGGTCTGGGCCAACCCAGGTCCCGAAGAGCATGTGTTTGATGCGCCCTTTGAAGGGGACAGGAACACTTATGTGGAGGTGACACGTACGTACCCTGAGAGACAACCGTCATTATTTTATACCAATGACCAACGTGGTTTGCTCTTCTGACCACAGATAATGAGCCCCTTGATGGGTTATCCTGCTGTGTAATTAAGTGTCCTCCAGATCTCATCAACTGGTCCCTAAATTTCCAGGTGGACTGTTTTATTCTATGAAAGGTGCTCAGAGGACTCCCTGGGTATTTCTACCAAGTGTACATTCCAGACGAGCAAAGATGCAACAAAAGCAAAAAATGTTACTGTTTCCGGTTCTGTTCACCATGTCACAACCCTTCCTTGCAGAGAGGCAGAGATGGATGCAGTGAAAGAGCCTTCGCTTATGAATCACATGTTTCCATTGTTGAGAAAAAGGAAACGTAAACTGTTGACATCTGTTCATTCATCAGCTCACTCCACTCAAAGCCACCTTGTTGCCGGGCGCGTGCCTTCCCATAATTTCTCAGGTTGGCCTCCGTCGTTGCAGTTAAAATGCAAATCTACTCGCTGAGGATGCTTTATGGTTATTATTCCAGTCTTGATGTTCTGGAGCCTAGAATAACAGGAGGTGCAGAGGCCCATGAGGATGTGCATCGTCCCTCATTCAAGGTCGTCTCAATGTCACAGAGCTGACAGGGGCACAGACAGATCCCCCTCCTCCCTGTCATTGGTTCTCTTTCCTCCTCCACCCTCACCAGATCCTTAGGCAAAGGCATGAGGAATAAGGAAAGACGCTTTTCCCGAGACGCTGCCTGTCTGGCTCTGGGTTCCATCCTCTGCTTTGCCAGCTCAGGACTCCACCTTCCTCCCAGGGAACATTCCACAAACTTGCCTGATGGATGCTTTTTCCTGAGACACCCAGGCAGGGGCGGCGGGACAGACAGAAGCCTCGCCCCTCCTGGATTCACGGGGACCCCACTTGAAGCCCCCTAAACAGCCAAAGTCTGTCCCCGAGAAAGAGCGGAAGCCGCCGTCGTGGATTCTCTTTCAGACGGAAGCTCTTCACACACTAGCGGCTCGCTCTTGGGATTTCTAGGAACAGGCATGAGCGGGTTTATTTCAAAGAAGAAATTTAAGCATTTTTTTTTGCCGGGGAACTTGTTTAGGATATACAGCCAGAAAGCTCAGAAAGGAAGAAAATATCTCACTTCTTTAAGAATTAAAAAAGAGACATATTGTTTTGAATTAGTTAGCATTTATTTACAAATTTGTAGTGTTTTTGATATAAAAATAAATGTGCTAATAAGTAATGGGCGAGTCGAGTATAT